TTCATGACACCACAACTAATTTTTTTTTTAGAAAAAAACAAACAAAAAAAAAAAACAAAACCTAATCTTAGCATTTTATTCATAGGCTTTTTATTTATAGACTTGATATTGACATAAGTTTCAGAGATTTTTTGCATTGCAAGCAAATTAGAGTTTGATTTAAAAACATGCGTACGTAAAAAGCAAGCATTTAAAAGTAAAGTCTAGAAAAAAAAAAAAAAATTAAACTTCAAATATTTGTTTAATCTAAGAATAAAATGCAAACAATCAACAGATCTTAAAAATAAGGACCACAGTTAATAAAGCGAAAAAATTCAAGACGTCAAGTTACTTGTTTTTTTAAATACATAGATTACAATATAGTAATTAATCAGGAAATATTGTTTCGATTTATTGTACAACAAAACATTTTTAAGCTGTATAAAAATGTACTAAGTCATAATTCCTATCTTCAAAGTTTTTTACATTTATAGTGCTACGTAGTCCTTCCATTAACAAAACCAGTCTTTCTATTGATATAAATTATATGATAAAAAATATTTAGTTGCAACTATGCTAATAGTTCAGCTCTTCTAAACTAATGTTTTAATTAAACCAACTTTGGAATAGTTAAAAAAAAAACTTCCCAATAAAAAATTTAAATATAAACATGTATAAAACAGACAAATATCATATAAACTGTATGGAAACCGTTGAATATTTTTTAATGGAAACCGTGAAGTTAAAACTAAAAGTAAAAAAAAAAGAAAGTTTTATGAAGAAGAAAAAAAAATCAAAAACATTTTTGAAAAAAAAATTGTGAATAAACAAGAATAGAGGTTTTAAATAAATAAAAATAAAAAACAAGGAAAAAAAACAAAACAAATAAAAAAAAGTTAGAAGAAAAAAGCCTTTGAAATGGAAAGTAATAAAAAAGAAAATTAAACTTTGTTCTGCTACTAATATTTTATGGAAAGAAAAGAAAAAGAACAAATTTTAATTAATTTTGTACGTTGTTTATATGTCGTGTATTTATGTATATAAACAATGTTGAACGTATTTATTTTTTGCATTTCTCTCTGTCAATTTAGCTCTAGCTTTTTCTATATCTTATACTTACTTTTTGTTTAACTAATCTATTTAATGCGTAATATAGGCTTTAATATTGTATGTAATAGTGCATGTATATTTTTTTAAATTGAAGTTTGCCTTTATTTTGCTTTTTTATATATTTCTACGAAAATTTTTTTCTCTCATTCTATCATTCTGAATTTACGTCATTAAAATTTTACATCTTTTTCTCACTTAACATATCTCATCCGTTCATTCTCACTTTTTTTTTTCATTTTTCTTAGCCTAATCTCTTTAATATTTTTGTTCTGATTATTGTTCCTATTACTTCTTTTTTTATTACTTCTATTAATGTAGTTTATTTTCTTTATTATTTCCTTGTCTTAATATTTTTTTACTTTATTTGTTTATTTTATTAAGATGTCACTCCATTGACTACTTTTTAACTATATGAGTGACACCGAACCTAACTTTATAAATTATAATTAAATTTGGAATTTATGATTTTATGGTTAAATAAATGAATAAAACTTCAGCAGGTTTTCTGCATTAAAAAATTAGTTGCAAACATACTCTACGTTGATAATGTAAGTTCTGGAAAATATCAAATATAAAATTTAAATATAAAAAAGTGTAAAACAGAAAAATATCATATAAACTATATGGAAAGTGTTAATCTCTAAAAAAATGTAAAAGTTTTTATTTTATTTTTTGAGATATTAAATCAAGTGCATAATTTTTTTTTTCAAATTACTTGGGTTTAACTTTAATATTTAGCTTCATAGTTGATGTATCATACTTTGTTATTAAGGGCTTTATCGCTTTACGAAGATTTAACATTTAAAAATAGAAACTAAGATTTTTAATTAATTTTAAGTTAAATTTCTAAGCAGTCGTATGTTTAAATATTTATTAAACAAAGAAAATAATAATTTTAAGATCAAAACTTGTTTTTCTATTTCAAGATAATTACATTTACTGATTTTTGTGTAAAGAGCGCAACATTCGACAGTTGGATAGTTTCAAAAAATTTAATCTTTTTTGGAAGTTTATATTTTAAAATTAATTTTGATGTGCAAAACATTCTTTTTTACAGTGCTATTAGAAAGTTTGATGTGCAAAACATTCTTTTTTTACATTAGAAAATTAAATTCTTGTCACTAAACTAAATTCAATTTTCTTTTTATTTACTTAAAATTTCGCTTGCTTTCTTATTTTCAAATACTTTGGTCTCGCTTTTTTGAAACACTAAAACCATGTTAATAATAATTTAATTAATTTTTAAATGTCAGGTTAAAAATATTTTTACTTGTTTTTCCCTAATTTATAATTTTGGTTTCATTTTTAGAAGCAAGGATAATGTTTATAATTTTACAAAAAAAGAAATTCTATAATTAAAGTCATATATAATGCCACACAATTTTTTCTTTATATAACCTGACTTTTTATTGAGGTCTTTAAGAACTCTGATAATAATTTGACGCAAACATAAAAGTTGTGTACAATACGAAATATACAGGGGAAATATACAAATGAGTTGAGCAAATGAACAGATGCTGCAGAAATATTGATGTTTGTGAGACTATTTTATTAAGGCTAAAAAAGACAAAAAAATAAATAAAACGACGCCCACATTGGGTTGGGTAGCCGACTGATTGTTGATTGTTTTAAGGTTTTTATTATTTTTAAAGATTGATTTCATATTTAATGTCACTGATATGCTATTACAATCTTCACAAAAAGTATGAAAACATTAAAAACACGCTATCATTTTGGACCATTTTCGAAAAAATCAGCAATAAATAATTTCATAAATAATCAATAATTATGTTTAAAATATAGAAAGACCCAAATGATAATTCCAATGATAATCCATATTGATTATCCGATTTATTTTTGGCAGTATTTAACCTTTTGCCGTGCTAATCGTGAACATTTTAAAAAGTCAAACCGTTACATCGGGAGCAAAGGAAAGCAAAGTAGATACATTCTTTCAAAGTATTAAAGCTTAATTTATACCTGCATTAATCATTCCATGCAATCCTCCGACAAACACTGTACGGGTTGAATCCAGCCTTTGAGAAGCACTGCGTACAAAATTGCTGTCTGATAATACCCAAGGGATAACTTGAATCTAAAAACATGGGTGCTTAAAATTTATTTATGTTTCCAAGTAATTAAATTTTTAATCGATCTACTCGAGGTTGCAAGCTATATAAATTTATAATAAAATATATATATATATATATATATATATATATATATATATATATATATATATATATATATATATATATATATATATATATATATATATATATATATATATATATATATATATATTTAACTTGATCAATAGATTAGTAATTACAAAGTGCTCACTTCTTTGCTTCTCATTCTTCTGCTGGAAATTTTGTAATACCAATCTCCACCATTAGAAAAATCGTGTGTACAGTTTGTCATAAGAGCCTTTACTGATTTTTCGCATTCAAATAATAAGTACACATAACCTGAAAAAAAAATATTTAGTTTAGTTTTGGAAAAAAAAATTTTTTAGTTTAGTTATTTAGTAAACATACAAAGAAAATATCTTTTAAGCATATTACAAAGCTTTTGTAAATTACCTTTGGGAGGATGTCTACTATGCTTTCCATCTTTGCCTGGCCATTCAATACTAACTGCACCGAAAGGACGGAATGTTTGTTGCAAACCAGCTAAACAGAAAGTTTTTTTTATTTTGAAAAAAAAAAAAAAAAAAACAAAAAAACAAAGCACAAAAATGTTAAATAAGCGTTTTTAATCAATCTATTTAACACAATTTAATTTATATTTTAGTATTTTTTAGAAATCTATCCGTAATCAAGTAAAATGATTAAAATAACCTTCTGTGATATCCCAAGGGACTCCTCCCAAAAAAACTTTATTAGAATAAACAAGGTTTTTGTAAATTTTAGGAGGCAAGTGTCCACTCCAAGTATAAGAGACTTCATTTCGATCTAAATTAAAAGCTTGAATTTTTATATCTATATAAGTTATTGTATAAAAATATTATATAAAAATTTTAATATTTAAAGAACAAACTGTCTTAAGTGAATATAAAGTATAATTAATTATGATAAGTAAATAATTTAAAGAATAACTACCTCTTTGCATATAATCTTGACTTTCAGTGCTTCCATTAAAAATAGATCGAGCTCCATTCCATCTAGGGTCTTCTAACACATCTAATGAGCTGGGGTCTTTTGTGTTAAACTGATCGTCTACGTGGTGTTGACACTTGATACTGCTCTTTGAGATGGAACTGTTACCATTTACAGTACCTAATGCTTGTCGGATGTTGTCTTGTTTCATTAAGGTCCTTCTATGAATTGTATCTTCTATAGACATTTGTTTCATGTTTTCAATAAAAGGAAAATCATCTTTGCAATAAAAGTTCAAATTTTGATCAAAATTTTTTTGATTTTCGATTTTCAGTGCGTCGTTTTCATTGGCCAAATTATTAAAACCACAAGATTGATTTTTATTTATGCTTTTTTTTTCGCGTTGTTGCAAGTGATGAAGGAGAGCCTGTTTTTGATAATTATTTAAAGCAGAAAGTTTTTGTTTATATTTTTCTACTAACAATAATTGTTTATTCTGTTCCACAGATAAATCTTGTTTTGCTGTTTCTTCAAATGAAGTATTTTGACAGGTAGAGTCACTGACTCTGTTCATGTTGTTATAAAAAAAGTTCTTGTTAGACTCTGTTATTCGCGGTGATTGTGGTGGTGATGGATTTTTTGGAGGCGTGATTTGAGCTCGATGAAAACTTTGCTACAAAAAATTAAAACCAAGTTTAATAACCTCACCTTTAAAAAATTACGTAATCACTAACGTAAAATACTTGTATATTTGGGTGGGAGGGATGGGAGGAGGGGAGAAGCTTTATAGAAATTAAAAATTTAATGAATATAAACTTTTTTTTAAAATACATATGTAAAACCACTCCACCAAAGTGTAGTTTTTTACATAAGTCTCTATGATGGGTAAGTTATTAATATAGAAACGCATACAGTTATTGGCGTCAATTATATATTTATTATCAGTCGTAGAATAACATATGATTAACATTCGGCAAAAATGAGAGTCTAAAAAAATATTATAAGATTTTTTTTTTTTAATTTAAAAAAATTTATTTAATGACAAAGTAACTTTTGAGTACCAATAATTGCATGTGTTACCTTATAATAATTACTTTTTACAAAATTTTGGTTAATTACTGTAATAATAAAATGTCCAATATTACAATTTTTTATCATTTATGTTTAGTTTTGCAATAACATGAAATCAAAATATTTGAAAATAAAGAATCAAATTTCTAAATTTCAATTAAATGGAAAGGTCAGAAATTAAAATGAACTTAATCTATGTTATTAGAATGGCTTACTAAAGAGATTGGCGACGTTTGTTTTGACGAGTATCCACTGTCTTCATCTGAAGGACTTTGAGAACGTGAGAAATGTGGGGATAAAGAATTTATGTTTTCAAAGTACAAAGTAGCAATATCTTTAGAGTTGTCGTTTTTGATCTGACGAAAAGGAAACTCTGGTCTTTCACTCTGATTCATTTGCAAATACAAAGTAGAGTTCAAATTCCTATGAGGCTCGCAAAATGATTTAAGATGATTGAGTCGATTTTCTTGTAAAACGGAATCTCTTTTTCCGTCATCGACATACTTTTTTTCGAAGTAACCTTTCGGCAAACCAGTTGACGCACGGCTCTCGTGTTGGCAGGAATAAAATGTAGAATCTTTAAAAAAAAAAAATTTAAGTTATTATCTTATTTAAAGCCATTTGTTATCTTAAAAATAACTATTGTTTAAAACAACAATAAAAACAATTAAACAAATTTACTATAAATATATAACACCAATAGTAAAAAAATCCTACTTGAGGAAGAAAAAAAACCATGTTCATCCCAACTCATCCTATTCAAGTCGTCTTCTGACTGGCAACTTTGTATTTGGCTCATAATAATGTCTAGAAAAAAGTAGACAATCTAAAAAAAAACCACGTTTGTAGCTTAACATGTTAAATTATTGTTCGAATGTTTTTAAAAACGTCACTATTCTTATTGAAGTTCAAACATCATTAAACAACATAAACAATTTCGAAATTATAAAAACATTTTTTACTTTAGTAAAAGCACAAAAAAAAACTTCAACGCAGACTTGAGTTAATCTTCAATAAGATTCAACATTTTGCAGAAAGAAAAAAAAGTCGTATTAATTACAATAATTTTGTATCGTTGCTTGTCGTAGCAAAACCAACTTTACGTAGGCATTTTGTATTACTAATTGATGTTTTATTAGTAAGAAGCTTAACTTAATGTTGATTGCATGCTTGCTTAGTCCTTATAATTTTTTGTTAAAATAATCAATGACAGCATAGTTGAGTATTTTACAATATGCTTTACGGGAAAACATTCTATTAATCGCGGTTATCATTTACTTGCCATAAGGAAGCGATTATATTGTCTTAAAGTGTTTTGAATTGTAATCTATTCAACACTTCATAATAAAACAAATTCCCTATCTTGCTTCCTTCCCCCATAATAACGATATTAATATTTATATCTTGCGCTATTATGTTGCGCATATTTGATTTTTTTTTTACCTTAGTATGAACACACTCTAAAAATTAAATTTAATTAAAATGTTACTAGAGTAACATGATTCGTTTGATTTTAATTTTCTTACATAATGGCGATCCAGAACAATAAACGTGAATTTTAGCGATTTAACAAAGATAAACCAAACTTTTTAACAATAAACAGACATATATTTGCTTTATATATTATCATATGACTTTAAATATTTTAACCAAATAATCAATAAGTGAAAGTGAATGGCAACAAGACTTTTAAGTTTTTATTAGAAATGAACAACGCCGAAAATTTGGTGATAGAGATTCGAATGCTTATTTTTATGATATACTATTTCTTCAAAAATCGATAAAAAATAAACCAAGGACTTTCTATAAAACTGCCTTTTTTTAAAAAATACAACAACAAACAAACAAATAAAAAAATCAGAAAGCTACAACAACAAAAATTACAGCCCTAGAAATTTATTCGTAAAAACAACGATAAAAGACGGATTTGAATGAAAATGTCATTCATTAAAGTTTAAATATGTCGTTTATTAATCTTAACTACTTAAAACGGCTTTTTAAAAAACAATTCATTATAAAAATTTTCATACCAGTATCTTCAATTAGTATTTGTTCTCTCAAATATGAACTATATATTCTGTTTGTTTGAAGTCGACGGTAAGCAGGTCACATTTAGTATATCCTCAAAAAAAGAGCGTGTAGAAAACATGCGGTCAGATGAAACTGTTTTTTTTTAACACGCAAAGACGTGTACAAAGAACGTAAACACCTTTTGGTTTTACGACATTCTGCTTATTAATTACGTCATAGTTTAGACCAGTCTCTTTGGTATTCTATGAAGTGAAAATTTATAAAAAATTTATATTGGATGTCCTTCCTTCAATTAATTGATAACTTCCTATTATTATATAAAAAAGTAAAAAAAGAACGATAAACAGCTTTTTCAAATATATTCCAAGAATAAAAGAAAAAGTTAATCCGAATCCAAAATTTTAAAACGAAAAAAAAACGATAAACGCTTTAAAACTAAAGCTAAAAAAAATCGATTTTGAGTAAGCTAACGTTAATCCTGAAAATTCATTGCGTCAACAATCTACGTATATTTTAATGCTTTTTATTAAACATTTTTTAAATATAGTGTCATAATTTATATATATATATATATATATATATATATATATATATATATATATATATATATATATATATATATATCGTATATATCACATCATTAATATTTTATTTTAAATAACAAAGTTAAATAACATATTTTATTAGTTTTATTAATACAGTTAAATATCACGAGTTTTTTGTTAATACAGTTAAACATCACGAGTTTTTAAAGTCACTTGTTTAGTCAACACAAATATTCAAGTTTTTGAGGGCAGTTTGACCACAAAAATGTTTTGAGGTTAGTAAAAAATGTTTTGCTTAAAACACTATTTCTAAAAATACTTTTCGTGCGTAACATCAGCACTTAATATCTACGGGAAAAGCCATTAATGTCGTCAAGGTCGCCAACTTTATTTTATAATTGTCATTATTTTGCCATATTTTAAATGTCATAATTTTCCATCTATTACTAAAAAAATTTAATTCAATTTTTAAAAAAAATTTAATTCAATTTTTTTACTTTGTTGTTTTGAGCAACAATATATTCTAACCCTTAAAATAGATGTTGGCAATATCTAAAGCAGATTTTTTTAAATGATATGTCTTTGTGTTATGGTCTTTGTAGCACATTTATAAGGAATACACTGGCATTTAGATTTTGGCTTTTAAAAAAAAGAAAAATGATTTTATAATATAAAGAGTTGATTTTTTTTTTTAAAAATAATTGTTTACTATCATGACAAAAAGATTCTTCACAAAAAAATTACTGTGATAGGAGAATGGGAACAAGAAACTCTAAAATACATAAACTAAACTGCTACATAAACTACGCTAATATTGCCTGGGGAAGTACTGAAAAAAGTAAATTACTTCGTCTTTATCGCTGTCAGAAACAAGCAACTCGCATAATTAACTTTGCTGATCGTTTTTCTCATTGTAAACCTTATTTTATTGAGATGAAAATTTTAAATATATTTGAACTTAACGTTTTAAAAATTTTATGCTTTGTTTATATGTGGAAAAACAATCTATCCCTCCCAGTCTTTAAAGATTTTTTTAGTTTAAAACCCAGCAACAAATACACTCTTAAAAGAAAAAAAAAATTTAGCGAACCTTTTTGTCAAACAAATTTTAATCAATTTTGTCTTGCCTATCGTGCACCGCACCTATGGAAAAAAACTGTTTTACCTAATGTTGATTTTGATCGACCAAATTCTTTTTGTCTTTTTAAAAACAAAATTAAAAATCTAATTTTTTCCCTCGATAAAATTTTAGGGTACTATTAATTAATTTATCTATTATTTAACTTTTTAGTATTTTTCTCTAAAGTTTTGTTGTTAACAACTATTTATATTTAAAGATTTGCTAATGTAAAAGTTCTATATATATATTTTACTTTACTATAACGTATACTTTACAAGGTATTCGTAAATTATAGTGTTTATAAATGTTCTTTAAGGTTCCGATGATAAGATCTTAGTGATCTTCTTTCGGAAACCTAGTTTACACTGTTATCACAATTTGTATATATATATTTGTAAAGTAATTTTAATAGTTTATTGTATTGTAAAACGACTAACTTTGTAAGCTGAAAAAAAAAAAAAAAAAATCTTAGCCCCCCTGCCCAAACGTGAGAGCAACAAGTTGATGAAATATTTTATGTACTATTTTCAACTAGACTTATATTCATCGAGAAATTTTAAATTTCATAGTTAAATAATGTTCAAAAATTATTACCATATAAAATTTGCAACCCCCTCAAATTGAGGGGAGTTTAAACTTTATATGGTCATAATTTTTGAACACTAAAATACTTTACTATGAAATTTAACAATTCTCGGTGAAAGATTTTAGGGTTTCTTGTTCCCATTCTCCTATCACAGTAATTTTTTTTGTGAAGAATCTTTTTGTCATACATATGAAAATAAACAAATACGAAATACTCTTTTTGTTTAAAAGTTGGTTATTTTCAAACATTTAAAAACGTTCCTACGCTACCGCTTACAGAGTTAGGCAGAAATATAAGTTTTTTTATTCTGAAATAAATTTTTTTTTATGCAGAAATTTTATGTAGCATAATATATTAAAATAATATATAATATAATAAATATCGGAATTATCATTAATACAGAAGTTCTTTGAGGTTCAATACAAGAGTGTATTAAACTATTTAATTATTAGTTATGAACCAAAATTTTTATTATTTAAAGCTAAAAGATGTTTAAATGGCATACTTTCTTTATTCAAATAATTGTCTGTCTCGAAATAGCACCTGGAAGAAGTCTTACTGCTCTTTCATATATTGGGATAATTTGTTTTTAATTCGCTTAAATATTCTTCAATTTGATTAAGTTGTGGTGTGTAAAGTATAACAAATTTGTTGTAAATACTATTTTCTTTTAATATCCGTATAACATCAACTCTATGGTGGAGCTTGCAGTTAGCCATGATAAAAAGGTTATCAGGATGTTCGCGAAAGTATTTTTTAAACTTTTCAAAACAAAGTCCAAAAATTTTGATCCATTATGTGCATCTTCAATTTAATTGTATGTAGTTATGCCATTCATCGATATATCAGCCATTAAACTATATAATTTATCCATTTTTTGCCGGTGTAATAGTATATGAGCTTTAATTTACGGGCGCATATACATAACATTGCATAGTGGGAATATTCCATTGAAATAGGTGGCCAAAAATATAATCGTTGTATTTATGTGGATATTAAGCCTTAATTGAGTAAAATAGAGATTTAAGATAATATTTTTTATTTTTGTGTTTAACCAGCTCATATGTGCAGCAAGGGAGGTGGAGAAATCCACTTTAGCGTTGGGGGTACCAGTTGGATTTTTTACATGTGATACTTTTGGACATTGTTTAAATAATAGATGATTTTCCATTCTTTAAACTTATTATTTTCATGCTTAAGTTAAAATATTTCTATGTAAAAAAATTTCAGTTATTGAAGCCCGGGTTCAAAAACACCCCCAAAAGGTTAGCTACCTTATACTAAACTTATATTCATTAACAGGTTTTAACTTTCATCAAATAATCTTTTATTCTCTGAAAGTTATGATCATGTAAAGTTTGATGCATATATATATATATATATATATATATATATATATATATATATATATATATATATATATATATATATATATATATATATATATATATATCGATATGATGCATGGCACAGTACAACATATTTTGCAAGAGTTGTTTTTAATCTCTTTCCTAATAAATTTATTTTGTTTCTCTGACTGGAATCCTAGTAATAATGTATTTAAACCCACTATTTACATTATGAAAAGTATTTTTGGAAACCTGTAAACATTGCACAAATTGTCTTAAGTTAATTTCCTCCATTATCTTAGTTCACAACAATAAACATACAAAGTAAAAAGAAACTTTTTAACAACATTTAGAAATTCATGTGGTTGATGATCGATTAGTGGGACATTAAAAATGCACTTTAGAATTACTTTTTCTTAAATTAATAATGTATTTTAAAACAATAAACACATTAAATTAGAATAAAAAAAAACTTTTTAATATTCCAATAACAACACAAAAACAAATTTACTTTAGTCTTTCCTGCCTTAAAAAAGTTTTTTTTTTCTACTTTTAGTATTGAATGAAAAAAATTGTTTCTACTCGAAGAAGTTTTTTATTTGTTTAAAAAAATATCAATTTTTAAAATTATTTAGCGCTCAAGAACGCGGATGATCGCAGCCATACTTCTCAGGGTGGTTAGTAGACATTAGGGTAGACCGGGGAAATGCCGACACACAGGGCAAATCCGACACCCAGCTCTGTAGTTGTATTTTGTGAGTAAAGCGCTGTTGTATAGTGCTGCTACCTGGCGGACAACACTAAAACTAATGTTCAGCGAGTTTTATGCGAGTACGCCTACTGCTTGTTTTGCTATAAATAACTAGTTTTTGAAGTTTTCCATAATAAAACTGACTTCTGGATGAACTGAGGTAAAATTCTAACTGTTAGTATTACTAAAAAACCATATAGTTAACTAAAAAATACATATTAAAACCAACATTTTGGCATAGCCGTTTTAGGATTTGGAGCTAGCAATAGTTTGTAAGGTTAGGTTTTCACCATCTTGTTCCACCAGGGTAACACCGACACACCACCACGGGGCAATGCCGACAGGTGTCGGTATTGCCCCATTATTTATAAAATATTTAAGGTAGTCCTATACTAGAAAAAATCGAAAAAATCATTTTTTCAAAAATTACAAATTCTGAAATTTCAAATGTTCTACATTCCGAATATATACAAATCATTATAATAAATTATATTTCAAATACTCTAAAATTGTAGCTTTTGTAAGGAAGTTATAATTTTTTCTAAGCATTGCTGATCTTGCTGATCATATAAAACATCTATTAAACCAGCTTCATGGCGTAACCCTTACTGATTTGCATCGCCTAGCCTTTGACCTTGCTGACAGGTTAAACATTAAAAATAGTTTCAATAAAGTTACTAAGATGGCTGGGGAAGACTGGGTGGTTGGTTTCAGAAAAAGAAACCCAACTTTGAGCTTGAGGAAGCCCTTGGCAACAAGCCTCAATTGAATTCTGGCTTTCAATAAAGCTGAAGTTGATTTGTTCTTTGCTAACCTAGATGAGGTATATCAGAAACACCAATTTAAGGCGACAAAAA